GAGTCTAGTTATGCTCTTATCCCTTGTTAGAGCGGCCTCTTCATCTCTCAGAGCCTGTATTTTTCAGTTCTGACCTGACCTATAGACTGCCAATGTTCCTAAATTCCCACAGCAGCAAGAACACATTACATTGAAGACCTTCTACCATCCAGCTTGTACCTCGTTTCCATACATTTCTCCCAGAGGCCTTTAGTTTCCATGAAGTTGTCCACCCAACTGTTCCCCAAACACGCCTCATTAAATTTTGCTTTGCACACCTTTGTTTGTGTAGTCCCACCACCTTGGACACCCATGTACTGCCTCCACAACAAGCCAAAAGTTTCCAGTGTTTTAAAAACCTGTTCGAGTCCTACTTCCTCATTAAAGCCTGGCTCAATGAATTTCCTCATTGTGGCTTCTGCTTTCGAACTCTGACAGAACTTAATAGTGATACCACTACGTCATGCCTAGAGGAACTTCATATACAGTTCCATATTTTGTGAATCTATGCCCTCCTTCCCAATCTTAGGGTTAATAACATGTGGGTTCATAGCATGTTTATTTGTTGTACCTGTATTAGGGCTTGAACTCAGAACCAAGGTGCTCTCCCTTAGCTTTTTTGCTCAAAGATAGCACTCTATCACTTGAATCACAGCTCTACTTCAGGTTTAAGAGTGGTTGATTAGGGCTGGGAAGGCGGCTCAGTAGTAGAGTCTTGCTTGCATGCATGAGGCCCTGGGTTCAACTCCTCAACACCACACACGCAGAAAAAGCTAGAAGTGGTGCTGTGACTCAAGTGGTAGAGCACTAGCCCTGAGCTGAAGAGCTGAGGGACAGCGCCCAGGCCCAGAGTTCAGGCCCCACAACCGGCAAAAAAAAAAAAAAAAATAGTGATTAATAGAGAGAAGAGCTCAACTTCCCATTAACCAGGGAAATTTTTAATGATTAAAACATTGGCTCATTTCTCACATCAGTAGCTCTATTAATGATTTATTCTTGAGTTCATTCCCTGGAGTCTACTGAAAATTTTTGTCTATCTCCTTAAATGTGATATTCTTCTAATACTTCATCTTCTAATGTTTAAATCATAGCCAAAATGTCACTTGAAGGTTTTAGAGCTATAGTGACTGAGCATTTAGCAAGTATGTCTATCAGATGAGACTTTTTTTTTTTTACTACCTCCTAGGACTCAGTGGAAAAAAGTTGAAAGACAAGACCACTTGTGTTAGCAAAATAATGAGTGAAGATGGCCTCCCAGCACACATAGAGAAAACAATTAGTATTTAAACAAGTAAAGTGAAGTTCCATTGATTTTTTTAAATGGGGCTTGCAATTTTAAAGTGTCTCTAAATCATTTATCCAAAGTATTTTGTCTGCAAAAAGTCAAGATTTTCAGAAAAGAAACACTCCCATTTATTAAATAAATGTCATAAATTTCATGAAAATGTATTAATTATATTGTGTTATCTTTAAGTAGTTGTACAAAGGAATTATTATTCAACAAATCTGTTTATAAGTACAGTGCATCTTGATCCTTGTCACACCTTTCATAGTTTCATGAAGTTTTAACTAATCTAATTATTGTTGAAACTGTTTGCTGCAAAAATGTCATGATGGTTATGCCTCCCAAAAGAGGTGTGGGTATTGTCAGAAACATCTTCAACAGAAATACTAAGAGTACTGGGCTGGGAAGGTGGCTCAGTGGTAGAGCGCTTGCCTTGCACGCCTGAAGCCCTGAGTTCGATTCCTCAGCACCACATAAGCAAAAAGAAAAAAGCCGGAAGTGGCCCTGTGGCTCAAGTGGTAGAGTGCTAGCCTTGAGCTGAAGAGCTGAGGGACAGCGCCCAGGCCCAGAGTTCAGGCCCCATGACGGGACCCAAAAAAAAAAAAAAGAAATACTAAGGGTACTGAAACTTTATGCCAGCTAAACATCAACACCTCATATCCCCTTCCCACAATCCCATGAGCACATTCTACTCTGTTTCTATATACTTGACATATATATATATATATATATATATATATATATGCTCAGATATATCTTCATAGAATGGAATTATAGACAGTATTTGTCCCCTCACCTTAGCCAAATATGCTTATAGCTCATTCATTTCATATGTGCCAGAATTTCCTTCTTGTTAAAGGCAAATACTATGTCCATATATATACTAGATCATATATATATATACTAGATTTTCTTTTTGCATTCATCCATTAATAGGCTGTTACTTTGTTTTCTCATCTTGGCTAACATTTCAGAGACTGTGAGAATATAAATATCTCTGAAATCCTGATTCCCATATGTTCTTTGATTCTAATCCTTAAGAGAAGGAACTTATACCAGGCTGCAAATTCACCCACTATGCCTTCATCAATGAAGTCTTGCTACAGAAAGAAAATGTTGGTGGAGCCAAACAATATCCTTAGTAAGATTTTTGAGTCCTTTGATTATTCCCATAACGGAAGCAACTTATTTATTAAGTAGCTAATGAGAGCATAACTTCTCACAGTAACCGAATATTCATGCTACCAAAAAGAAAAAAGAGAGAGAGGGGGCTGGGAAGGTGACTCAGTGGTAGAGTGCTTGCCTTGCATGCATGAGGCCCTGGGTTCAATTCCTCAGCACCACATAAGCAAAAAGAAAAAAAGCCAGAAGTGGTGCTGTGGCTCAAGTGGTAGAGCGCTAGCCTTGAGCTGAAGAGCTGAGAGACAGCGCCCAGGCCCAGAGTTCAGGTCCCACGGCCGGACCCAAAAAAGAGAGAGAGAGAGAGAGAGAGAGAAGTGGAAAGTCTCTTTTAACATGAAAGTTTATAATTCTCTGATTGAAGACACATCTGAGAGCTACACACCACAGTAGTATAAGGTTGCTAAAATATAAAAATCACTGCTACTCTTCAGAACTTATTATAAGGAATGTATCCACTGGATCCACACAAGGCGAAGCTTCTAAGTTAAATAAATAGCACCTATTACAGATGTCCATGTGCCGCTAAGAATATAAATATTGCATTATAATTCTAAGATAATTCATTTTATAGTGTTAGAGAACTAGTTCTGTATTAATATGTACTTTTACAAGCAGTATTTACTAAAAATACTATTTCTCTTGTAAGACAAAAGCAAGCACGTTTTTATGTTGTAGTTGTCATTATACTGTTGGCTAATCATTGAGAGCCTCCCTAGTACAGCTTTGTAGTGTGAGCATTGCACATAACTGGGAGAGAGAGCAAGTGGAAGCCAATCCCCAGCTCCCATATACATCACCAGCCATCAGCTCTGTCAGGAAAAGTACACCAGGCCTAGGGTGTACGAGCACCCCACATTCCCCAGCATCAGTTTCTCAACATGTAAGACTTCCAGTGCTACAGCCTACATGTCATCAAGACACAGAAGTGCCATGTATGCTGTCTTTATTTAGTCTTGGAATTCTTGGTGCAGAACTATAGGCCTGCAGGAATAGCAAAAGTACCACCAATTTCACATCCTTTTCTTTCTATGTTTTCAAGGTGAAAGATCCATGTAATCACGCCAACATCTTGACCAAGCCTGACCCCAGGACCTTCTGGACTAATGATGATTCAGGTATTAAAAATATTATATTCTGGGGGCTGGGAACATGGCTCAGTGGTAGAGTGCTTATCTAGCATGCATGAAGACCTGGGTTCGATTCCTCAGTATAAACAGAAAAACCTGGAAGTGGTGCTGTGGCTCAAGTGGTAGAATGCTAACCTTGAGCAAAAGAAGCTCAGAGACAGTGCCTAGGCCCTGAGTTCAGGCCCCAGGACTGGCCTTTAAAAAAAAAAAAGAAAATTATATTCTGGCACTGGGATGCATACTGTATATAATCTAGCATTGTTTGCTTGTTTGGTGATGTCTAGCACCACACTGTTACCCCCTACTTCACAATCAATTTTATTAACATAAATGTTGTATCAGTAGGTAAGGTGGATATGCCATCAGCTGCAACTCTGGGCTATGGAAGGGACTGGGGTGTTGGTGGAACAGAGAAATGAGTCTATTTCCTAGAGTGGAGGAAAGTAGAATAAAGTAGGCAAGTACTTTAGCTCAAGTTTCTCTTCCTGGGCTGAACAGTGGATTAACAAATCAGAAATCTAAATCAGACTTCAGAATCCTTATAAGAAGGCAACATTGACTTGTACTGCAAAATTTGTGGTTATAAATATAAATTTGTGGTTATAAATTATAAAATTTGTGGCTATAAATGCAACAATATGAGAGCAGATAGCATGCTTCAAATTATATAATTAAAAATCAGACAGAGCCAGACGCTGGTGGCTTGCTTCTGTAATCCTAGTGACTCAGGAGACTGAGATCTGAGGATCATGGCCCAAAAGCCAGCCTAGGCAGGGAAGTCCATGAGGCTCTCATCTCCAATTAACCTCCAGAAAAGCAGAAGCAGAGCCTTGACTCAAGATGGTAGAGCATTAGCCTTGAACAAAAAAAGCTCAGGGACAGCACCCAAGGCCTGCATTCAAGCTCCTCAACCTCTCTCTCTCTCTCTCTCTCTCCCTCCCTCCCTCCCTCTCTCTCTCTCTTTCTTCCCCCCCTCTCCCCCCAGCCCACCCCACACCCACAACAGACAAGATGTAGGGTGGCTGTCATAGGAAAAAGAAAAGATGTTGTTATTTGTTTTGACAAACATATATGAGATACAAGACCTAATGGACACTAAACAGACACTAGAAATGAAAAGGAAAGGTAGTAGAAAGGAGCTCAAACAATTAGAGAGTGATAATAGAGCTTTCACCTTTTCTAATTAACTAGAAAGAGAAAATTCATGCAAATACCTAATATTTGTATTATGCCTCACACTTTTACAAAGTGTGTTCACAAAAATCTAATTTGGTGTTTTCAGTAAGTCTCTGAACTAAGAAAAGCAGTCGATCCCAGTATCCCTGTGTTAGACACTAGATTGCAGATAATCAGTCACGTATAAACTAGCAGGCAGAAGATATCAAGAGGATGGCAGAGCTGCGGGTTCGGTTCTGAGGTCCACTTACCAGAAGCTGGGACTCTCCTGTGAGAAGCAGATTGGGCTTCATCTGTGGTTAATCTTTTCTTAAAAAAAAAAAAAAAAAAAAAAGAGTCAGAGACTGTGTCTGTTTGTTAACAGAAGCAGGAGGAAGGAAATTAAACATTCTTTGATGACTTTTTTTTCTTTCAGAGACCAGGCTTGTGGACTAAAATTATGATCCATTTTATCTGCCATTTTTTTTCTGTTTTGTTTTATGCCCATCTTTGAGGGGGGAAAAAAGACAAAGAAACATAAAAATTGAATTGGTTTATTTATGCTATCGTTCAATCAATTAGCAGTACAACACCACAATAAACAAGCCATCTGCTGGTTAATAATGCCATTAGGATCTACAGCATATGTGTTGTGAAGACACAAAATAGAATGAAGCATTATAATTAGAACCTCAAGGATTCTTTATGTTTTTGTTGTTGTTTGCTGTTTGGTTTGAGGGGTTTTTCTTGGGGTGGGTGGGCCTGGAGCTTGAACTCAGGGCCTTGGTGCAATCCCTGAACTTTTTTTGTTCAAGGCTAGCGTTCTACCACATAAACCACAGCTCAGGCTTTTTGGTGGTTAGTAGGAGATTCTTCACAAAGACAATGTTCTAGTCATTGTCAAGGAATGAATTTTGTTATTGTGACTTTTACAAATGCTGGAAGTAGCTTTAATAAAATGATTCTCTCATTTCCTATGGGAGGAAAAATTGTTTCATTGATGGAATACTTCTATTCACTCTGCCATCATCAGAATATATTTCGTTCATTTCATCCAAGGTATATCTCTTACTGTTCTGTTTAAATACAACTCAATGCTAATGGATACCAGTTCACATTTCTTGATAGAACAGAAGTTAATAAAGACATATTTAAGAACTGAAGAATTTCTTAGGATGAACTTACTCTAAAACTGGTTGGATTGAGTGTTTAGTCACTATCTGCTGGTATTGGTAAATGCTTTTTTAAAGTCATTAAAAAAAAAACTCTTTTATTACAGTTATACATTAAAGATGGCTTTTGTTTATCATACGTCACAAACTTGGGAGGACAGAGAAAGAAAGAATATTAATCCCTCCAAGTTTACCCCTGATTTTTGTTCCTTGGGTTTGGTCTCAGGCATCCCCAGCATTTGCTCAGATAATAAGCAAACAGGCTGCACAAGTTCAGGTTTTTTTTCTGTTGCCTTTGTTTGTTGGACTTTGAAACCTGAGTTGTTTTTACACACCTTTGTTTTCTATTGCTGATCCTGCTGTGGCCTGTGATATCCTCTAAATTAGAATTTCAAGGCCGATGAGCTTCCTTACACTTTCAAATGTGTGTTTTCACCTAGTACCATATGGCAACATAGACAATGTCCTTTGCTGAAAGGAAGTCAATAAAGTGGCTAAACCATAAGATTTCTTTCAAAGGCTAGCAGTGTAGCTGGGCAGATTCTCCGTATTCTTCCTGGACTTTTCCCTCAAGTCTTCTAACTGTCTATACTTCTTTCAAACAAAACTTAAATAGAGCCAGGCACAGGTGGTTTATGCCTGTAATCCTAGCTACTCAGGAGGCTGAGATCGGCTGATCATGGTTTGAAGCCAACCAGGCAGAAAAGTCCATGAAACTCTATTGCCAGTAAACTACTCAGAAAAAGCTGCAAATGGTGCTGTGCGGAAGTGGTAGAGCACTAAACCTTGAGCACAAAGAGGCCCAAGGACATCACCCAGGCCCTGAGTTTAAGCCTCAAGACCCAAAGGAAAAATGAAACAAAACAAACAAACAAACAAAATACCTAAATAGCAAGAATCAAATTTATTTGAGAGGAGAAAAATCCTTGTGTTTCAGGATTACATGTTACATATTGTTTCTTTATATTTTTTAAATAATTTATTGCATTTTAAGTTTTCAGCCAAATTTCTTATAACTTAGGAATCACTGGAAAATGTCATATTTATATGTATTTAATAGTAGAATTCATTTATGTATCAAGTTTAGAAATAAAATGATTTAGTTTGAAAGCATATGGACTACAGAAAGATTTTGGTATTTCAAAGAACATATAAAATTAGATTCTTGAATTAATATAAGTACCCTGAGTTCATTATATAAAACTGTATAGTGAAGAAAACAATTTTTAGATTTTTTTTTCTGAAAAAGTAAAGCTCTCTCATATTTGTGCGTATTAACAAGAGCTCCTCCAAAGTATGACATTACCTACCAAACAAGAAAAAGATGATAAGCAGTAAACATGATCTGCTTACAAAGAACTTTTCCATCTGATTCATAGTGGCCAGGGTTTTCTTGGGATATTTTACTTCTTGATACTTTAGACAACTTAATAATACATACAAATCCTTTAAGTCAGGCTGGAGTTATGTCTCAAGTGATAGAGTGACAGCCGTGGTTGGAAAAATTGTTGAAGAGCCTGACCTCATCTACATAGGTCATAAGTTTAAAACCAGTGGCTAAGTTCAATAATAATTAAGTCATCTTACAACCAGTGAAGAACTCCAAAATCATATAATGCCATTAAATAAGACCAGAATTGAAGGCAGTCCTTGGAAAGGATAGAGGTATAATCCTAAGAATGGAAATTTTCTTTCACTTGAATCTTCTGACTAATCTCTTCATAAAGCATAAAAATGCAATGTGAAGATTGATTTCCTAAGAAACATTCATGTGCTTTTCTAGGGACTGGAAGCACAGCGTAGTGATGGACTGTTTGCTTACCATGCACAAGGCCCTGGTTTCACCTGTTGGGACCATTTATGGATGCTCTGCTGGGAAAATCTTCCTACTAGCAACAGTCACTCAGACAATTTGTCTTTTGTAGATGTTCAGATTTGATCATGGATAACTCAATCATAGCAGCAGCTGATGATATTCTTGATTGATTAACCCAATCAGAGTCACTCATCATGACTTTTTTACACTACCAAATACAAATTAAAACCTAACACCATGGTGCCAAGAGAGATTAGAAAAAGAATCTCAACTTAAAAAGACCAGGGTATTGCTGGAGATAATATTATACAGACATTGCCTAGTCATTTCTCTCTCTCTCTCTCTCTCTCCTCTTTTTCTTTTTCCTTCTTTATCTTTCAGTTTTTTTTCCTTTTTCTTAATCAGTTGTACGTTAATTGTAGAAAGTTTTCATTGTGATTATTTCCATATATGCATATAATGTACCGTGGTCATATTATCCCTCTCCCTCTTAACTACTTTTAACCTTTATGCTCATATCTCAGGAGTACCAATTCCTTAACTATTTACCACTACTGGCTAAAATAATGTCCAGGATATTATTGTCAGTGGAGTCCTTTGTATACGATGCATGCATAATCAAATGCATGTGGGGGGAAAAAGGCAACAATTCTTTCCCAAAAATTAAGGTAGAAGGAGGTCCATTTTGAAGGTCTTATCCAAGACCATCCACCAGAAGGACAGAGATCCACTCTATTACTCCTATACTGTTTTCTAAGTTCCCTACTTCTCCAAAACAAACTTTTCAAAATCAAACTTGGTATCTATTGGTTCCTTCTTCAAACACATGGACAGCATCCTTCTCAGTGTCCTGAACTGCATCTCCTTCAGTGAAGTGAATTCACAGGGAAGCTGGTCGACCAACAGGTCACACGTGGAACACAGAGAAAGCTTGCCCGCACCCCCCACCCCCAACCCTGACTGCACAATCTGTTATGATGAGTGTGGTGAACTCCTGAGCACCACCCCTGAGTCTGTCACAAATGTCAATAGCTGTGGCTTTGGGCAAGCTAGTTAGCTCCTCAGTGCTTTCATTTCTATGTCTGCATGAATGGGATAGTGATAATAGATCATAAAGGTTTGTGAGAGTTATGGAAGAAAATGCAATAAACTTACTTTGGATCATGTAGCATGTAATCAGCGAGCAATTCATTAGTTCTTCTTTACTTGGAGACAGAATTGAGTTATTTAAAACGCTGGATGACATTTACCTAGGATTTACCATGGGTTGAAAGAATATACTCCTTTTTAGTGTTGTAGTTGCTGTTTTATATTTTACTGGATCTATAGTAAAGATGATGAGTTTCTCCCAGAGCCAAGAAGCTCATCCCCTTGTCTAGGGTCCCAGACACAGATGAAGAAGCTTCCCGAAAACACATGAGTGCTGGCCCTAAAATGCTCGGGCTAGAGATAATATTAGATTGTCCTTGCCTAGTCATTTAGATGAAAGAGCTTTCACTCCATCTCTTTTTCTCCTTTTTTTCTTTTTCTTTTTTCAACCTTTCAGGTAGCTTTCCCCCCTATTTTTTCAGTGTACAGATGTTCTTCCATTTGTAATGATAGCCTGATTGGTTTACGGTCCCAAGTTTGCCTTATTAGGCCATGATTTAATCAAATATCTGTGACTGGCTACAGGATGGCTGCTGATATGATTGGCCGAAGTGTTGTTGATATGTTTGGTTGAAGTGTGGCTAATATGATTGGTTGTATCACATCTATTTGTCACAAAACTTCATACAGTACTCCTAAATCACTCTAAGTTGGGTTGTAAATCTTCAGGTAAGAATTCAAGTTGTGAAGACTACCTCAGAGCAATTTTAGTTTAACAGTGAATGCAACAATAAATCAAAGGAAAAACAGAAAAATGTTCTTGGAATATTTCCTCTCATAACATGTATATTGTATTTGGTTAAATAAAATACAGTTTTGACCTTCCCTTTTCAACAGCTCTGATTAAATTTTTGTTTCTTAGAGAAACTTCATATTAATAGTTAGATTGTTCTGGTCTTGTGGGTATTAAATTACATAGCATACTTGAGTTGTCAAATTGTTTTCCCATTCCTAATCTCATCTGAGCCTTCCAGTCACCTCATGGGACTAATGAAATAGGTGTTAACCCTAAGATTACTTACAGAAGTTAAATACTTGGCCAAAACTACATAATAAATTATAAATGCTGAGACGCATTGACTGAGAAATCAAGCTTTCCTGGAAATTCTCCTGATTCTCTTTCTCCTGGTTCAGAAAGGCAAGAGCCACAGTGCAATGAAAATAGCTCGAATGTAGACACAAGTGTTGGGGAA